CGCAGAATATCGTACATAACTATTGCTCCGGTGGGAAGGCTCCTTGTCTCTTTAGTTGCAATACAGCATCAGTGAAGTAGACGCTCGACCGGATTATCAATTGATTCTTGATCGTGCAAAGAGTATCGGATGAACTGGACGTCTACTTGAAATCTTATCACTCTCAATTCTAGCTGTGTACAGTGAAAATCTAATCCAACGGACAGCAGTTGCCAATAATGAATTAGTGTAGAATTTAGATCAAGGTCGGTCATTAGTCACTTACGGCAAGCGCACTACGACGGGCGGTCCTGACTCTGCTCTGAAAGACATAACAACCTATGCACACCAGATCATAAATGTAGCGGTGCCAAAGAATTTTTCCAAGCAGGCCCTCAAACCCCTGTGTGTTATTGTGTTGATGGTGATACGTTCAACTCTATAGGTATTGGCGACCGCCCTGGTGTTATCAATGGTTTACTAGCTACTCAACGTGGAGTCAAATCACCTTTTGTTGATCGAGCAGCGCTAGAAAGCCAGCCCTCACCCGGCTGGCTTTTGCCTTCTCTCGGCTACGCAATACGTCTACTATCTTTATAAGTCTTGGCGCGAGGCTAAATCTGAGATGATCACTACCGGGTACAAACTCAATTTCTTGACTCACTGTCATGCAGGTGAAAGACGTATAGTGAGTACCTTGTCAGCAAGTCGCAATAAGCCTTCAGCAAGAAATATTAGAGTCCGTAACTGTTTCTAGCGCTAGCTACCCCACCAGTGATATGATCTGTTAGCACTAAAATATGATAATTAGTCTATCCATGATGGGTTCTTGAGCCTAACTCCTTTGGAACCAACTGCAACATTCCGATATTATCTTCGGCTTACATTTCAATGCATATATTTTCCAAGCATACTTGATCGGCACCAATGTAAGCTTCTGCCGGAGGAAGTGAAGGAAGACCTACAGTCCCAAAGACTGTCTAGAAAGCTTCATCACGCGTGATTGATATCTCTCGCCACAAACCTATGAGGTATCAATGCCCCACACGGCAGATGGCTTTGCTGCTCCGTAGCATCTTGACAGCATAGACTCATCTCCACTATCTATAATGTCGCGCGCTCCAATTAGAGATTTACATTTTTTTTCGGCTTTATGGTCTCTGGAAGGGAGATTGCGAAATCCAGTCGCTTCTTCTCTCCACCAATGCTGGCACATTAGACAGCAGCTCACAGCTATTTCTTACCGTCCCGCTAGAGATTCTTCAGTGCAAAGTGCACGGCAACCATCTTGAACTTGTGGCTTCCGTACCCAATCTCAACGCCAAATACTATCAGAGCTGTAACTTCTATAGGGACAGGAAATGAATGTTTGATTATTCATCCCCGCGACAACAGAATCAGTTTTTAAAGCTAACTACATCACTGGCTCAAACGGATTCCAAAGCAGCCAGTTAAGGACCGAGGATGGTAATTGCCCCCTGAAACTGCTTAGCTTCCTTAAATAATGCGCAGGTGACGCCATTCAGAAGCGTTTTAGCCAGTCATCGGTAGGAGGCAAATAGCATCCATCGTTAGCGGGCTGATGTTGAACGTCTAGAACTTTTACAGCCGAGGTGAGTATATGGTTGTTCCCGACGCGAAAAATTGAGCTACATATTTGGCCATACTTCAAAGAGAGTCACGGCGTGTCGCACATGTGGTCACCTAGCTCAAACGAGACGTGCGCAAATGAATAAATGTAACGTTATCAACATGAGCAGCTTAATTCAACGGATCTGATGAGTGTTGACCCTGACAACAAGCGCATACACACCGCCACAATAAGGTCAGATCTTCAGCAAAAGCTATCCACTAAATGGAAGGCCTTTGGATGCAGTTCGCACCGAGATAATTCGCGACAACCTTACCATCTCTGTGGGGCGGTGGGTGTTGCATTTTATTTTAAATACAATTTCTGTGTTTCGAAGACTGTATGCGAATTGGAAGTGAGAGCCGTATGGATATGTCAAAAACGATGAATTTTGGCCAAAACGAAGCAGAAGAGACAGTTATCGTATGTGCTGAACAGCTTCGCGGTACTCAGAGTTGATTGTGCGGAGCATTAGCGCCTTGCGCGCCGAAAAGCGGCGATAAACCCCTCACGAGAAGGCGTCAAGCCTAGGAAGACCGCACTGTGTCTATTGGTGTTGCTTTGGCGAGTCAAGTAAAGATCTCGACCAGGAAACAGAAGAACTCCTGGCGCGGGCTCAAGCCACGATACCTTCCATGCAGTAAACAGGACAGTTCGCTATAAATGACAATATTTTGTTAAGTTCTCCAATAGAGCTCGAAAGGCAGAAGTGGTAGTGACCAGCTAGCTAAAGACGATGCAGAAATAAGATATATTGCGAACTCCAAAGTGTGTATCTATTGTGGCGGAAAAAAAACGACTGTATGTCGTAACCTCTGAGTTTATATCTGTCGAAACGGTAACAAACAGTTGTGAGCTGTTGTTGTCTGTGTCAGCATTAGCCGAAAGGAGAAGCGCCTGGATGTCGCATTCTCCCTGCCAGAGTCTATAGATCTAATTTGAAGTAATAAGCTTAAGGTGGAGAGCGCGACTTTATAATTTATCGCTATCAAGAGTTAACAGTACAATAAAATCATCATGCCTCATCGTGCGGTGAAGTAAAGCGTCACGGTTTTATGGTGAGAGAGATCAATGTCGTGAATGAAGTTTTCGAGAAAGTCCTGCGGACTGAAAATCCTCCTTTATTACCTTCAGCAGAAGCTTATATATATTGATAAAAAATGCTTGAGAAATGTGAGGACGCCACAGAAAGGTTAAAGTTGGTACCAGAGAAAGAGCTAAGTTTATGGATGAGCTTACCAATCAGGGTGATCTCAGTGCACTGGGTTTAAGGAGCGCGGTAACTCCCCTGAAATAATTTAAAAATCCATTTTGATTTTTGTGTAAGGAATTTTACATTTGGTGATACGAGATCCCCTGGATATGGCATCAAAGTGCGTCATGAACTTCGCTTGATTTTCGGAGCAAAATAATGCGTTATACGGCAATAGCCTGACATTACGAATGGCGTGACGTTGCTGATGTTTTCTGACGTGCAAAGCAAGCGAATTTGGTGAGAAGTTTAATCGGCCTACTTGGCGTCGACTTTTTGTGTCAGAAAGGCTAACGTCAAGCGGCATATTGCGCATGCTTAAATTAAGCTGAATGCAGTCACAAATTTGGAGAAAAAATCATGTTCTGCAGAACAATATGCCCTTTGTTTGTCCTTATGTCTGGGTGATGAATATAATAACTGTCAGCGATATACAGCGATTTCTCTTTTTGCGATGCGTGACCACAGTGGTTTATCTGGTAGTAATTGAGACTGCTACAGCAAGTGTATAAGGCACCAAAAACAAGTTAAGAGATAGAGCTGTCCAAATCGCATCCTGGCCGTGCGCAAATCTGTCGCGGTAGTACACTCGAAAAATGGTCGTGCACAGCTTAGGAAGTCGTATGTGGAGACCACGTTGAGTACTTGTGGGCAGTGGTCAGATGTAGAGATTAAGCTCAAAAACGCCATTAGTCGATATCGACGAGCGGGCTTTTGATGCCTATGAAATAACAATTCTAAGCTATTCTTTTTTCAAAGTAGGACCTCCAGATATATTTAGCGATGATGAGATTGTTGTAGATTGACCAAAGTCGCTGTCTCAGAAAGACTTGAGATGGTGGTCTGGCCAGGCCGACTTCTCGCACAAGAACTGCGCCAGCTAGATCGACATGACACGATCCCTTACCAATATCCTCGAAATATAATGCCGAATGATGAAGGAGCAGCATAAGGGGCAAACTTTAAGGCTGTAAAATATAGTTTCATGAGTTATCGCATTTGGATTTTCGAATTCGGATCGCTCATTCCATATTGTATACGACGCTTCAAACTTTGTGCTATGGTGTGCTGAGCTTCAAGCATTACCAATGGACATGAACGTGTGGTCGTGCTTCAGTCCTGCCAGCTTAATACGACTGAGAAAGAGTACCTGTTCCTGACAAAAAGATACTCGCACTGAAATTCGCAACCTTTACGTTCATGGTGCACCTATTGACTCTAACCCGTTTCGGTGATCTGTTCAGAACATGCATCGTTGCACACAGCGACGTCATCACCACATCTCTTACTTTGACGCGGCTTAATGTGGTGGCAATTGCCCTTTCGTGACCCCTACTATAAATTATCGCATCTCAAGATGGTAACATCACCATCAGACAAGGCGCTACGTACATTTTACGGATCAATTGTATCATGTGTTGAGTTGATCAAACTTTAAAGCAACAAATTTTAAGAGCACACATGCCGCGACAGCAAAGTGCGTGGATGCGCGCCTGTATTGCTATTTCTTATGCTAGGAAAGGCTTGCTGTGCCTCAGCACTGACAAAATGATCGATAAACGTAAAGTGGATCTGGTGGTGAAGCGATAGTGATTGAGAACTAATCAAAGCATTTGCTGCCCTTTTGGGTGCTACCTCGGATGATAAAATCCTGCTGCGCTGTGAGATCCTATATTGGTAACCCGAAATGTAGAGGATGGTAGGCGCATTTATCCGTGCGTGTGAACAGCGGTGCCGAAGCGAAAAGCTCCCACTCATTAAGCTTGCGTTCAATATCGTAGTGAATGCATCCACAAAGCTCACTTTATTTGGTATAACTCTCTTCTGGTTTCCAATCTCGTAGAGGAAGGGCTATCGAATAATTTGCATCGGTAATTCGACATTATTTGCATCGAAGGTTCCAGCCCGGCTATATGTCGTGGCGAAATTGTGGATTTGTATGTTATATGTAGCGTCACACGCCAAGTGTCCGACGTTATGGCTGAGCGCCAGAATTTTCAGATGCATGCAATATAGACTTGTATAAGGGTCACAGACTTCAGAATGCGCTGTATTATCACACACACATATCGTGTCTACGCTTCGTGAGATATTGTTTCAAGCACAATACGTTATACCGCTCACGGATGTAATAATATAATGATTACCTTCTTTTTGCGTTGGCGTCTCAAGGTACATTCTTATGGCTCACTGGTAGGCCCAAGGCCTTGATCGCTGATGATTCAAGCATATTGCAAAACCAGGTGGAGGACGCAGAAAATCCCTATTTAAGCGAGTCTTTACCACGCTTATCATCCCCGAGAACTGTTCAGTCGTCGAGGAGATTGTTAGTGAAGAAGATGATGCAATAATTGATGATCGAGCTCAATGGACTCGATAGGGGTCAAGAAAGAAAGAAAGGGCCCTGCGTCGAGCTCCGGAAGCCGAGGTACAATCCCAGCCGTCCTTTGCGCTCTTCTGCGTTCAATGGCTAGTCAATGAAGTAGAACAATACCGCTCTTACTAGCTAGTCGGAACGAAATCTTTTTCTTAGACGGATCTCTGTTTTTCCTACATCATGTAATAAGGTATCTTTCACTCCGTATCATTGACGCAGATCTAAGGGTTTCGTAACTCACGCAGCGCGATGCGTTTTAAAAAAGCGCGCTCGACGTATGACCAATCCCAGTATTGGACGCACGCCAGGACTTTTGAAGCTGGGTATTTCCAGCAACGTGCCGCTACAAATCAGATGGTTAACGAGAGCCAGCACCGAGAGGATCATGCTCCGTCAGCACTGCTTAATCTGACCACAATGGCTAACTCCCCTGTTTAATGTACACCAGGGCTGTCAATATTTGCCAATGAAGAGGATGAGATGCTCGCACTTCAAATTTATTAAATTCTTGCGACCTCACTGTAGCAGAACAGTTTTTGCGCCGTTTCCGCTTATGACCTAGCAAATTCGGACTCTCATCATTTATCATCTCTTAGAAAGATGCAGGCCGCTCGAGTGCAGCGCTCTTCAATATCAATCAGGAACCAAAGTTGTGGTGAGCTCGACAGTTGTTATAACTTTCACAAGGAGATGATTGGGGATAAAAACAACATGAGCTCGAGGTGAATGTTTTCTTACCTCGACGACCGCATCATTTTTTTTACTAGGCAAAACTAAGAGCCAACCGACATTCTAGTCGGACGTTTGTTTTGCAAAAGCTAGCTTGCAGCTCTGTAAGTAGTTAAGACAACGAGGCACCATACTTGCAATCAGTGAGATTTTTATTGGCACTTTTGCCAGCATTCTGTACCCGAATTATGGCTTAGAAGGAGAGTACCGCTTCTCCCGACCGCTGCTCTCGGCGCAGGTTGCATCATTGAGTAGTCGTGGTTTGTGGGTTTAGAGAGCGTTATGCGACCCAACCGTTTGTCGCTCGTTTTGTATTCAGAAATTTTTGCGCATACGTGTGTAAGGGCCTCGCGCTAACGTGGCGAGCAAGTTCAGATGCTTTAGATCAACGATCATAACGTGATGATATTGAAAAAAGTTGATGTAATTTTAAATGAGGGTACCGCGAAGAAGAATTTAGGGTAAACATATGTCTAGCCCTACATCACGCAAGAAGCGTTTACAATGCATTCATATGTAGTATATGTTTACATCAATTATATATCATTATTATAATAGTGAAGCAACCGAGGGACTAGTTACTACTGATACTCGCGGTTTATCTCCTGGGTATAGCGTTTGAGCCCAATCTCTGTGCGCTTGTCAGCGTAGACACTTTAAGTAGAAATGTTCAATTGTGCAGGGTGCACTTAAACCACATAACAGTAAGAGTTACTTCCCCCGGAAGAGGGTCTGCCGTAATTGTGATACAATTTTGCAGCACCTGGATATAGCCCGCTAGGTTCGACCTCTCTTCACTTGTAAACAATATCTTAGAACGCACCCAATAGCCTCATTAGGAGGTGCAAGCACCGGTGACCAATGTCGCAAATTTCGCGCTCCAAAGAGATGGTACGATAGTGTTCATTCTTGCGCCCGGCCTCCCAACAAGAGCGGTATGCTGCTGTCTTTTTGGAGCTTAACCATGGCAATCCAAATGATTTTTTGTTTCTACCCATCAAGCTTTAAGCGCTTAACATCAGTGACCTCACGCTGGGAGTCGGTTGCGCAATCAATAGATGCCATCCTGGTGGTTGAGTTCCAGACGCCTCCAGGCGATTCATAATCGCTTCTGGCCTTTCGACCGCCGAATATGCTACACCATTCGTCAGTCGAGAGGCAACAGCATACTTGGCGGTACGAAGCACAACTTTTTCTAAGCGCTAGTTGTTCCGATACCAGGCGATTGAGAAAGTTGTGTTTCATCCTCTTGAAGGACAAAGATCTTTGCAACTCGGTCCTTGGATTGACAGTGAGGTCTACCTAGTGAAGCAGGGATACCGAGCACCTTGCACAGAGGTTCTTTAATCAAAGCGTCTTTGTATACAATGCCCAAAGGTTGGACTCGTATGCTCAAGCCACACAGAGCCTCTAAAGTATTAAATAACTACATTGTTTTTATTTTAATAAATTTTATTTAATTAAAAACTCAACGTACGCGTTTAACGGAATCGAAGCTACCAGTTCACGTGCTTCACGGACCTCTTTGCAGAGCTGATAGTACCATTACCTTAGTAATTTGATTGTTCACGATACACAAACGTATATTGAAAATTTTGTTCACTAGAGAAGAGAAGATATAGAGAATTGCGTTTTGCAAAACTGCATACATAATAGATCAGGATCTACTCCAATATACTTCTTTGCTTCTGTTGATAAAAAAACAGTATACACTTTAAGTCTAATTTATAAACGTCGTTTTTACTGTACGCAATGATTAAAGTAGATTTGTTGTGTGGATCATCCTTTAAATCTCCCCAACCTATTGTTGCCACCTCTCTCAAACAGCACACATCCTGAGTATCCTCGAATTGCTTCAGAATTCTTGAGATTATGAAATACGAACAGGCCTGGCAATTCCGATTTGTTTTTATGGTATTTCAATGGCAGTTTGTATTGTATTTGTCACAGATTCACCACAGCACAGGATGAAAATGGTAGGATGATCCACATAGGGGAGATGAACCACATAGGGGAGACGATCCACATAGGGGCGTGTACCACACGTTTCGGGAAAATTCATGAGGGTATCATCCACAGATAACATTTGCATTGCATCATGTGAGCCTTGTCTCATGGACCTTCGTCTTCATCGTCCTCATCAGTACAAGTATTTGGTACCTTTGTTTTGCAATGCACAAAAATGCAGTGTGTACGTACACCATAATATTGTTCCTTGTCAAGGTATAGCAAATCGTCGTCGAGCTAGAATCCCATTATCGATTCATATAGCCTGAAGTCAGTTGAGCTTAGAAGTTATTTATATAATTACACTATGGTCCAAGTAAATTACTTCCCAGGTCACAGAGATATCGACTCGTTCGAAAGTGTTAACGCTTATCACTTTCAAAATTTCCTGATAACCCAAAAGTTGCATCAACAGTAAACGCCATGAGGTCTGGCAGCATCGTTTCCACTTCCATCGCTCTATTTGTACTGCAAGTACAAGGAGCTCCAGAGCGCAAACTCGAAGCCTTGACAGAGGGCGATACTCTTACAAAGATGGAGCAATTCTTCGGGGCGAAGTTTGAAAGGAAATTCAAGGACCTTCCGACTTCAGCAAGACTCGAAACAGCACCCTGGAACGGCCCTATCTGGGATACCTATTTCGACAGTATCAACTACCCATGGAAGGCCGACCAACCATCTCCAACTGAAAAGTATGCAATGGCTTTCGGTTTGAATGCAACCGAACTGAAGGAAAGGTGTCCGTCAGGCTTGGCATTTATTCAGTGCCCGACTCAAGGCCTTCATGTGTTTGGTCTTGCACAGATGAAGAGGACATATGCACCAATCGTGGTGGTAAGGGCATCTGTATTCCGAGATGGTTTGGTCTCAGTCATGGGGTGGCGCCTGCAGCTGTTTTCGAGAAAGAGCCCTTGTGTCCAATCACCTACAACAACGTCGAATTTCACCCGAATGATATCAAGGGATTGATTTCGGCTGTCTATGCTGAAGCAAACATTTCGACAATTACTGGCGGA